TTGCTTCCTTCCCCAGCTCCTCTTGCATTTTTGTCGTTTAATTTTTTTGATCCTGATTAAATTTTGTTGATCCTGATTGAATTTTTTTAAACCCCTATCCCATAGTTGGGGCCCCGACATGAGGGGTGCCTGGTGGCAGCTGGCACTGGGGGCCGGCAGTGCGCTTGCACTCTGTGGGCGGCTGTCGGGCCTGCAGCTTGCAAAGGCTGTCGGCTGCGGCACGACTGCCAGGTGTTCCGAGGTCGAGGACACTGGAGCCACAAGCTCTGCCGCCGATCGAATGGCCTGGGCACAGCAGCTGGGGCTGTTCGGGCCTGGGACGTCTGGGACGCCTGGGCGGGCCTCGCAGACTTGCTTGAAGGACTCGGTCAACTCGGCAAGGACAAGGACCTTCGCGAACTTTGCGTCCCCGGCTCTCCCGCCTCGTGGCCCGGCTCCCGCCTCGCTGTCGCTGTCGCCTTCTTGTTGAAAGCCTGCGTGGAGCCTGCGGCCGCGGCGCGGCTGCGCCGCTTTGCGGGGCTGCGGCGCTCCGGGTGTCCGACATGAGAGCCAGAGCCTCCTCGTGTTTTCCAACCTCTCAAGACTCTGCAAGTCTCCCGTTAACCTCAGAAGGCTGCCATGGCCTCCGCAAGAAAGCGCGGGTTGTGCTTGCGCAAGCGTCGGAATTTCAACCTGGCGAAGCAGAGGGCTCAGCACGAGAAACCAGAAACCGCTCTCTGGGGCGAATCGCTGGGCTGCTTGGAGGCATTTCGAGGCTGGGGGAGCGGCTCGTCGGGCTGCTCGGCGATTCGGGAGAAAATGGATCTCAGCGTTGAAACCTTGCAGCTACATGCCAGCTATGCCATAGCCGGCGTTTCAGTGCATTCTCTGAGCGTCCTGCGCACGGTTTCAGCTCATCGTCGGGAAGACCCTGCGCCCGAGGAAATCGCTCGTTCCTCTGAGATGCCTTTAGACGCTGAGTGCAGAACCAGGAGTGCAGCCAGCAAGCTGTCCAATTGCTCATCGTGCACTGGCGCTGCTGCCTTTGGTGAAAGCCCCAGACACGACATGCTTCAAGCAATGTGAAGATCCATGATTCCTACGTCCAGCCTCTTCTTGCTCGGGCAGCTCGGGCTGGCTGTCGCTTGTACACACAGGCTCAAAGCTGGTGACGGCCTGCCCGACCGTGCCGGACGGAACCCCGCATGCCGAAGCTGAAAGAGTTCTCGCCTGCGGTCCGCCGGTGCTGCTCGACATTTCCAGGAGCGCAGCCAGGGATGCATCTGCGAGTTGCTGTCGCCTTCGGTCTTTCCAAAATCGAGCTCTGCCTCTTCACCGATTCTGGGCCACGGACGTGCAATTGGGATTTGTCCGAAAAAGCTGCGACACAGCACCCTGGCCACAGCTTACAACGGCACCGTCCGCCCCAGGGTATGGTGCAGTCTCCGTGCCTGCACTGTGTCCTCAGGAATCGTGGGAAACCTGAGTCTGAAAAAGAGCTAGGAACATGGACCTGCTCGCCTCCATCCTAAAGGTGTCCTGCTCCTCTTTCGAGGATGTAATGCGAGCACGCACAGTTGTTGTTTGGATGCGGAAACTGATGGCATGGCCTCTTTTGGTTCGCGACAGGACTCGACCGATGCTGCTGTCGTGGCCTTGGGCCTCGAGAGCTCTGGCTGGCCTGGGCTTCGCCCGATCAGTACAAGTGTGCAGCCAGCGTGCAGGGTGAAGGAGAAAGCGGCACTGAGTATCGGGGGTCTTTTGACGCCCGAACACGTGAATTGCAGCAGCTTCCCCGCCGTTCACATCTTGTAGACTCAACACGGATTCTGTGGATGGGGAAGCCAAAGACAAGGCTGCTCTATGGCTTTAAGCCACTTTAAGCCATCTGCCCTGTTGGTGACCTTGGAGCTCCAGGACCCATGTAGCGGTCGCCGCCTCCCAAGAAGATGCAACCTTGCCCCGTAGCGGCTATAGCCCTCTGCCCCGGCCCGTCGCTGGCCTGGAGAACGATATCCGGGCGAGCCGGGGTTCGACATGGACATCGGCATGTTCCTCGAGCCACGGTTTTGCAGCAAAAGCAGCCAATGCTAGAATGCTAGAATCATGTGCTTTCCGAGTAGCGGTAAATTAGCACCGGCTTGAAGCGGGGGACCATTCCTGGGCCAACAACAAGTGTGATACCGGTGGCATTGTGCAAAGATTGCCAAGCCTCGGGTTGAAGCTTGTGAAGGGCGGCCTGTTTGGTCCTGAAAGGGACGCTTCAATGAGGAGAGTCAACAATAAGCGAAGGAGCGACTCGAATGCGGCTCCTGCGCCTTGAGGCCGCCCAATTGGGCCTTGCATTGCGGAAGGTCCTCGCATCTGCTTCGATGCTCCGCTGCCCATAGACATTCGAACACAGAGCCAAGCCGGTCCCATGATGACGGGAGCTTCGCGGTAGGAGACGGGGGGCACCTCACAACGGATCACACTCTCATTCGAGTTTGCCGACAGCATAAGAGGATTCGGATTCCTGATTCGACGATGCACAGTGCCTGCAAGGTCTGCATGATGTTGTCGAGCTCCTCCGGCGCTTCCCCGCTGCCCCGCGATCGCCCGAACAGATCACGGAAGCTTAGGCTTTGCACCTACCACACTGGCACACTCCCACACCGCCTCAGGTGTCTCCTTGCTCCGATCCGGCATTGCTTTCGGCATATTAGAGTCCTTATCACACTATAGAAGACCGAAGCGCACCGAAGTGCATGTCCTTATCAAGGTCTTGGTTTCGGGTCGCGCGGGTCGTAGCACGCGTTCTGTACAAGACAAGCGCTCCGTGCTCACGACCATTGGATCCGTCTCTAGGATCGGCAAATTGCTTTGGTGGCAGTGAGCCAGAACTTCTCGCCTCTATGTGTTTGCAGTGTTGCGTGCTTGCCCCGAACACCGGTCATCTGCATACTCGCATCGTCCAACATTCAAAACCTCACTACAACATCGACAGAAAGATAGTAGTGTTTCCAGATCACAAAGACCCTAACGATCTAGACAGGTAGAACATCACGTCCAGGGATTTGAAGGGACGAGCATCTCCACCCGAGGGCCTTCGGGCTTTGGGGCCTTTACCCTCAGCTCCCAGAAGCGAAACTCCGTTTGGATGGGGCCCTTACCTACAACTCGTTTCTTCCTTGGGGCCTTGGGGGAAGCGCCTCGAAGGGCCCACCCTCGTCGCCCAGAACCACCGGGACTTGAGCCCTGCGCCGTGCGGCTCGATTGCATGTAGTCTAGCCAGTCTCATCCAGTGCATCATCTCCTTCGCTATGCATGACGATCCACCCTGGAAAGAGTGGTACAGTGCAACCACCCCAGTGTGTGCATTTGTGGAATAGGCCATGCCGAAAGCAACCTCACGACAGTCTATTGATGGGTTTGCTGACGGCACAGCAGACCGCAACTAAGGTCTGGTTTCAGAGATGGAGTGCGCATCAGGAGCTTTGTTAAGGGCGTTAATGGGCTTTCGCCGTGACTCGACTACTCTCCTGTGATCGGGCCGAGGCGGACGCGAAGCGCTGACCATTTTAGTTCTTGGGTTCTCGGGCTTGGGACGGCACTACGGCCTTGACCTAAAAAGCTTGGTTCTAAGCAAGGCAGTAAGGTTTACGGTGGGCTGTTGCAGGGATGCACACTCTCAGCCGTTTTCGGTGCCTTCTGCACAGCTGCGGCCCCACTCTGCAGCTCGGCGGAGCTCCTGCAGCGGGACAGAAGAGCAAGTGCTTTCTCATTTCTCTCGGTTTGGTCTCCAGGGATCAAGTCGACCCTGCTGACCCTGCTTCGCTTCTCGGGAAGGCCATTTCAAGGGCGATGCCCCTCATACTGACTCATACTAGAACTTTCGTCGACATTATGTCAGTTGTCAAGGATGAAGAGAAACACTCCGAGAAGAGTTTACACAGGGAGGTCTGTGCCCCAAACACCTCAGACAAAACTCAGAGGGCAGAGAACACTGAGTACACATCTGGAGATAAACGGTTCGAACGACAGACTTCAAAGGATCCACCGAGGAAGGAAGACATGCCGTGCTGGTAGAATGCCATGCAGGATGAAAACTCCAAGACGCCTCCATGTAGCTTGCGCTGCGCTCTCTTTTAACGGCAACTCTACCTGTAAGTTGCGCTCAGGTGACAGTTCTCGGTGTTAACCTCTGGCACCTAGATTCAGCCCGCTGTTCTTTGCCACTCAAGTATTGAACCGCGGCTCATGAGGTGCTTCTCAGCGAGCTGGCGGTGCTCGTCCAGCGTGCCGTAATGATCGGCCAGGGCACCGCGGCCGCCTCGAAGAGCGAGACTCAGTGCAGACTGCGACAGAGTGGCAGCATTTTCACATCCCAAAACTCGGACGGCTCCTTCGAACATCTGCTCGAGCATCTGATGCATCTGCCTCGGAGAGTGTGCGATTATCCGCCGCAGATGGGCCGAAGGTGTTCTTCGTCTGAGCGCTCGGCTGCTTCATGGGTTCATTTCCACTGTGCTTCTGCCCCACCTCCTGTGGTGAAGGAACAAGGACAGGTGCCAAGGGAAGCAAGTCTGTTTAGAATGCCCTCGCTGGACTCCTGGGCCTTTCCAACCAGAACGCTTGTGTTGCTGCAGATGTTGTCCTGCAGCTTTGAGCATCGTGCTGCGTGAGAAGGCTGACAGTTGCACGTGCCACGCCCAGTCCAGCATGTTGTGATAGCTCTTCCTTGGCACAAAAAGAAAGACAAACGAAAGCAAGAAGGCGCGCTGCCCTTTGCAAAGCCTTTCTTGGGACCCCAAGTGCTGGCCGGTCGTCTCCTTCCCCAGCTGAAAAGCCAATAGGTCAGCGCACCGGGCAAGCTCCCCACGGTACATGGTGATGTCCTGACCAAGACTCGCCGCCAGTCCGCCAAACACAAGGCTGCCGGAAGCCGGCTCAGTCCTGGGTCATCTGCGCTACCTCACGCTCAAACTCTCCACAAAGCTGGTCCACCACCTCGAATCAAGACAAACCAGCAGTGCCTCTACCAACAAAAGGCAGTGGCGCCTGCATGCAGAAGCTGCGGAAGGCGTTGACCTTGGGAGTGTGGTCCATGGTCGCTTGGGACATCCTGACAAGCAGGCTTCATCAAAATGGAAGCCTTGCGTCTCTAAGACTGTAAGACTCATTGTGCGGTCGTGTCTTGCCTCGGCAGATGGCTGCTGAGCACAGCAGAGGCAGAGTGGTGGCTTGGACCAAATGGCTCAAGTGTCGCACCCTTCAGCTCATCTGAATGGCAACATGTCTTGATTCGCTTTGCACCTCACGACTGCCCCTATATATATTGTACCTGAGATCTGAAGATGAAAAGCCGGCAAGTGGCATCTCAGCGAGCCGGTGTGCGATGCCGGTTACGCCACCAGTCGTGCTAATGTGGCCGATCACGGCTCGTTCCTGGACGAATGACGAAAGCGCGCGGTTCGACTGCAATGGTTTAGGTGAAGCCAACGGGCTCAAGGCACCTGCACGGGCTTGCGCCGATCGGCCGTTGCGCGAAGCTCATCTCGCCTGGGCGATTTGAGGCTACAAGGAGATTCGTTGCAATGGCTCTTTTTGCTGTGTGGGGGAGGAGGCCGGAAGCCTTGCAACATTAGATGACTTTGTGATGTACTCATGAGTTTGGAAATTTTTCGAGACCGGCAGGATCTGAGAAGAGTGCAGCCCCATTGTGTTCTGTGTTTCCCATTCCCAAGCTGTCAACTTAGATCCGGCCGTCTGCAGGTGCTCTTGGAGACTTTCGACGCCACTGCGGTGGCGCAAGCTGCCTTCGAGGAAAAACCTTCTTCCCAAAAGCCCTTCAGGGGTTGGGTTCTCCTATGGATTCTCCAACCGCCTATGGGCCGCGATACTGTGTGCGGCGCGGGAGCAAAGCCGTTTAGAGCCTTCGGCGTCCAATTCCGGTGCCGGGCGGGATCGTATATCGGGACTCCACCGTGCGGGTCGCGATGCTGGGTGCTGCATATAGAGGGTGCGCGAGGTTTGAGCCTGCGAGCTTTGCAATGCATCAGATTGGGACTGCGCGAAAGACGACTTGTGGACGCAATGTAGCCTGGTCCGCGGGTTCGAAAGACATGCTCGGTGTATGCACATGAGGACACCATGCACCCTCCTGCGAGCGACTTCTCCTTCGGGTGTCCGTGTGGTGTGACTGTGCATGGAACTGGATGTGTGCCGTTGAAGTTGGATTCGCGGCTCCATGTGTTGACCTTCTGTCAGCAGGGCATTAGCAGGGCTGCGGCTCGACGGCAACGGCAGGGCCTGGCTCGCTGTTGAGAGGTCGAAGCCATGTCGAGGAGCAGAGGAACTCCAGATCACGATTTACACGGCCGTTTGCATCGAAGGAGCTGGCCTAAAAACGAAGACATGGCAGCCTGCCATCCAGGTTGTCTCCCGCAGCACTGGAATGGGAGGCGGGATGGAATGGGATGGGAGTGGGCGCGGGAGGGCGCCTTCAAAACAAGAGCCCTACATAGTGATGTGGGGAAAAAACATAACAATCATAGCAATAATAATAATAGTAATAGGTTCGAACCGCGACACTACTAGTCATGCTAATAATCATACGAAAAGTCCTACACATAATTATAAATTTTACTCATAGGACTCATAATCATGAACAATCTTCATAATATTCGTGTGCTTCCTGCATTTATCAGAATATTCATAATAATCATCACAATCACAATTACAATGAACAACACTTGCAACAATACAAAGCACTTACAATATTACAATATTGAGAATACCGAAATTCCAATAGTGATAACACGACAAGAATACGAATAAAAGTAATCATGAGAAGAATAATAATAACAAACACAAATAATCAGGTTCACTCCACCAGGCTGACGCCGAGAACGTCGATGTGAACGATTAGATTCCCGGATCGCACACTTGGCTGGCAAGACCCGCGTTCTATGAACAAATATCACAACCTCACTGGCATATCCATTCAACACTATGGATGCAAAAGTATCAGCTTTTGGAACGTGAGCTTTTGCGCCATCCGGACCACTCTTCGTGCCACCATGCTAGCTTCTGTTTGCTGTGCAGCGGGCGTGCGATCTTTTGGTGCCTGTGTCCTTCTGGACGGTGCCTGGAAAGAACAACCTTCATGAGGGCTATCGGGCTTGCGACGCACCTGATTCTAACATCAGTAGTCTTATAATCCTGGAGCAGCCTATTACTGGTCGGGCGCCCTTCTTCTTAAATCAGACCTCTTGGAAGCTAATCTCAAACTCCGAGGATGGAACCTGGAACTCGGCGCTCGTTGCTTAACAATCAGAGCTCTATTCAACCTTCAACTTGGATGGTGCAGCCTGTTGGAGCTTTGGACTGGTGGGGCGCCCATGATTGTTAACTGAGAGCTCTTCAACACCTTGAGCTCCTTGGGATACGAACTGTTCATGGGAACCCGGTGCGGCAAGGAAAGGAGCAGGGAGACGAAGGGAACTTGAAGGGAACACGGAAGAGATACGGTCTTCGACAAGAATATGACTCATGCTTTCTGCAGACGGTCACCCACCCAAAGCGATTCTGCAGGCGATGCCGGCAAGTGGCACGTCGAAGTTCCTCTGCGACATGACCCGGGCCCGCATCTCGTGCTTGTGGGCCGGACTGGCTTTCCTACTTGCAGTGTGCACCTTGCTTGAGCCGCCAATACATAGCCGATGACAGGAAAGCTTCAAACAAAACTGAAACTGCAGATGGACCTCCTCCTTGACATAGGCTTCGTACTCCTGCAGCCGAAAGGCTTGCAACGGAGCTCTCAGCTCTCTTCAGAAGGGGCCTTCTTGGTGCGCTTCGCCGCACCAACCTGCAGGGTCAAAGTCGAGCAACACGCAGACGACTTAAACGTCGGCCATCGGCCTTGATCTGCAGCTGCTTGAGAGCTGGGTCCGGCATTGCCGATGCCGTTTCGATTGACTAGCTAATCATGTGTATGCATTGGCAGGGCCTACAGACGGCTCAACCTAGTTGCAAGCGGCCCCTGAATTGCAGCTGTGTCATGTGTGAGAAAGCATTGTGCATCGTGAAACGGCCTTGCGCTACGCGACGACACTTTGCGTGGCTTTCCAGTCCATTCAATCTCATTCTCACGACCCGGCCGCAACACAGGTCCATGAAGCTTCCGAAGTGTTACAGCATGAAGCAATGCATGTTGCCAGAAGTGAACTGTCAAACATATGTTTGAATTCGCCAACGATCGGCGCTTCTCTCGTCACCAGGTCGTGCCCGTTGCAGGCCGACCACTTCAAAACTTCAATCGATGAGCGCAGGGTTTGCGCTCGCCGGCGCCTCTGTGGGGCGCCGGCTTTTTCGCGGCGTGAATACGAGGGCTGCCTTCCTGGCATCAAAAAGCCGGCGGAAAGATGCTACGACGCGCTGCAGATCTCAGAGTTGCTCCAGTGCGGTGCGGAGGCCAAATCAAAGGTCACTGACCTCGCTAGCTCTCGTGCGCATCCTCGCGGCCGCGGGCCTGGATCCTCGCAACAGGATGGGAGGCAAAATGCAGCCGGCCGTTCAAACCCCGGGTGCCCGGCAGCTTCGCGATGAGCCCCGTCCAGCCCGTCTGATGCGAGGATCCCACGCCACGACCGTTGTCTCCATGGAAGTACCTCCAATGGGGGCAACGGGGCCAAGTGCAGCAGGGCAGCACTCATGGCATTGGCTTGCGGTTTTCGGGGCACTCGTAGAAAAGAAGGTTTTGGTCGAAGTGCTCCTCCTTCATCTTGGCATGCAGCCGCATGCCTGGCCGATGGCCGTCCTGCAAGGCGGGCCAGCTGGTGGTTCGGAGGCTTCCAGCGACAAAGCCATGCTGCGACAAAGCCATGCTATCACGCCCTTGGCTACATGACAAATTCCTCAGCTTTCAAGAAGATCTTGATGAGCCGCTCGGACAGTTCGTCAGCAATCTTCAAGATGCTCATCTGGAAACTACAGCAGCTTGTGGTTTTCTGTCGGCGGGGCAAGAGGACTTCTGCCTTGTTGCCAGAGCCAGTGGGGCACTCGACAAGATACTCGTCCCCGTAGTATTGGTGGAACCTTCGGGGCCAGGCCAGGCCTTTAAGGGCCAGGCTAGCGCGAAGCCGTTGTCTGTCCCTACTGGGGCCGGGGCTTCTGCAGGGACTCGATGAGGAGGTAATTGATCGGAAACCTGAAAGGAAGAATAATCACACAGTGGAGGATGGCCAGGTTTGCCTGGGTGAAGCACCAGACAGGACCTCTCCAGTTGGAGTTGCCGCCCATGATGATCACTGTGGCCTTTCCGGCAAGCACTGGGCCGCGGGAGGTGAGGAGACCCTTGCCTCAGCAGGAGCATAGCGTAGCGGGGGCCCATCACCGAAGGCGTAAGGGTTCTGGTCGTGGTACTTCGAGAGGCCCTCGGCTCGGCGGCTCTGTGACTGGGACTTGGATGACTTGGTTCCAAGATCGCAAAATCTCCGAAAGTGTTGCTGCGTGGAATCGATTCGGGGCCAGATTTGGCCATGGGATCAGCTGTCACTGGCAGTGCAGCAAGCTGTGCCCCTGGGTCGTGCATCTAATTCTGCCCGTTTGAGCATGTGGAAAACGCTGTTGAGAGATTGGCGACAAAAGGCACACAATTGACTCTACCAGTCTCTACCCGTCGGAGCTCAACAAGAAATGACATCTCTCATATTCTCCCATGTGAAGAGATGTTCACCTGACGATCTCAAGTGGCAGACACTAGCCCAATGCACTTGAAAACACCCTCCGGGGTGATCTCTTTGGTCACCGCCCTCTGGATCGCGGTGAAGAGCGGAAACTTGTTCTCAAGACCCCGCTTCTCAATCATTGCCCAGACCTCAGAAGAGGGAGCTGAAGAAGAGGCTTCCGGCATCGCCGCCGGCCTAAATAAAGCCGCAAACCGCGTCGCTCTGTCGCTTCTGCGGCCGCGGGGCGTCCGCGCAGGTGCTGGGCCCCTGGAGCTTCTGGCCCTGGAGGAGCTCCTTCTCGATGTCCTCCCAACTCTTCGTCCCAGAGGCAACCGCAAAGGCCTCGGCCTGAGCGGCGCTGATCGGCGAGGAAGGAAGCCACCCAACGCGCACTCTTCAGTTTTCTCCCCTCCGCTGTGCGGCCGAGGGGCACACAGACGGTTTCGACCGCTGTAGGAGGTGGTCAGCAGATCAGCCAACCCGCAGCTCTCCAGCAGAGTGTCTGGGGAGGAGCTGGGATAGAGCTCCTGCCCACACGTGCAGTCCAAGAGAGCCCACTGCAAGAGCAGTTCTCCTAGTGCCCGCGCAAAAAAAAACACCAGAGTTCTGCCCACTTCTACACACGAAGGACCGGAGAGCGGCCCTCTGGGCCGGGCCTTGATGAGCCGGGCCATTTCTTGCAGTCCGCGCCGCAGGATAGCTGCTTTGGTGTTAGGCGGGAAGCCGAGCCCATCCTGACTCTCTACTCTGCGCACTGCAAGGCTTGGCCATGTGTGGCATGTGTGGCCATCCGCTGAATTTAGAATCCCAAGGTTCGGAGAAGCCTGCAGCCAGGGCGACCACGTTCTTCAGACCCCCAAAAAGCTCCACCCCCAAGATGTCAGGAGTGGTGCGCACGCTGAACTGCGGCGTGTTGAGCAGGTTCCAAAGCACCTGTCGTGTATTAGGGCATAGGTTCTGTCAAGTCAGCTCCCCTCGAATCCTGTGAAAACTTTCGCCTGGGACTGGTCGCTTGTGCAGCCAAGGGTGGCCTCGAAACGCGCTACTGTACACCTCGATTCAATCGCGCCTGAGCACTGCCACTCTTCGGGCCTCTGCAAAATGGTCGTGGGCCACATCGGTGGCCACATTGGCACCGTTTAAGACGGCGCAGGGAATGCCAAGCTCAGCCTCAATGAGCTGTGTTCCGGTGGTCAACGAACCTGTTTGTCGATCGATCTCCAGGTAGCCTGCATCAGGACAACACTGCACCTCGATCTTGAATTTCAACTCCAAAGTCGGGATCTTCGCAAAAGGAAGGTTTCTAATTTGTCGTGGCTTGTGAGGGTTCTTCGTTGGCTTCGTAGGGGCTTCTTGTTCTATTTGGATGGCCGCTTGATGGAACCGGGCTGCCTTTAACCAATGAGACGCCCACAGCATCCGCGAGCACGGCGCCCTTGATGGACTTCAGCAATCCAGGCAAGAACTGGTGCGGCAGTACGAAGACCAGGATGTGAGCGTCCCGGACACACGTCGTCACCTCGGACTCGGCATGCCTCGGCTCACGGACTCCCTTCAACAAACGTAGCCGAGTGATGGGATATGGCGACAGGACAGGTGGCAGGTTGTGCGGCAACTCAACTCCTGGAAGGTATTTCACGTTCTCGTGCTCTTCGTTGATAATGTCAGTGAGCTTGCGCCCTTCGACAGTTTCCTTATTGCCCGATCACATCTACAGAAGCACTGCAAGTCGTAGCCGTCGTAGCCCGTAGCGCGGAGCCATTCAGTACAGTCAGAGGCAAGCTTCTTCGTGAACCCACATGGCCACATCCTTCTGGAACTCGGTACGCCTCAACGCGTTGCGAGCGATGATCTTGGCAATAGCACAGCCCCAGTTGCCGGAGCCGAGCACAGCCACCTGGAGGCAATGCGCTCTCTTCCAATGCAGTTCCAAACTGCTCTAAACTCACGAGAAGCCCGCCCTGGCCTTCAGGGCTTTCGAAGCGCGAACCCTGGGAATCGCCATCTCCGTCAGCGACGCTGGCGCTGCCCTCGAAGCAGAGATCTCGTCCACGCGCGCTAGGAATGGGAAGTCGCTTTCAGCACGATGCGACCTGACGAAGGCTGCGCACGTCCGCAGAACGGCGATGCCCGCTGGCTCCCCACTCCGCAGCTTCTCCCGAGCGACCTGCCACCACGAGCTGCACTGCAACGCACTGCAATTCCTTCTCTCAAGAGAGTTTTACAGGCTCTGAGACATAGGGCCTTAACAACTGGCTTCGCTGCCGTCTGACACGCTCACGCTATTGCTTGTGCTAGGATGCTAGGCGCTGCTAGGCCCTGTCCGCCTGGTCCCAGCCCTTCTGCGGCTCCCGGGCGAAGGCCTCCGCACAGCGCCTGGAAGCGAGGCAAGGCATCGCAGGGTGCAGGTCACCGCACACCAGCCCCCCAGCAGCCGCCTCGTCCGCGAGTCCCCATAGCTGGATGCAATGATGTCCTCAAGGCATGAGCTCCCTCGATACAAAATGAATTGCCGCCAGCATCATCACAGTAGTTGCTGTGCCTACCCATGTTGCAGCCCCGAAGCGGTTATGCCACACGCTTCCGTCAGGGCTTCCTGTCACCAGCGCATGCTCAGGCCATACCTCTTTCCATGCTCCCACGGCCCCCTCCAGCGCCTTTGATGCCTCCTCCGGGTAGAATCGCCTAGCAAACTTTGCCAGTTCCACTGCACCAAGGCCTCATTTGCAAGAGATGTCGACCGTCGACTCGCGCCACGCCAAGAACTTGAGCGGAAGTGTTGTGTCGGCTGTGGCCAGGAGACGGATGACTGCCGCCTTGGAGTTGTGACCCAACTCGAGGCCGTCGCAGAACCCTGAGAACGTGTACAAGCTTCCGAGCCATTTAGGCATGCCGGGACCAGAATAGGGCCCAGCCTGCACCCACGGCAATGATGGCCTTCAAGACCGCGAAAAGCTCCACGGCCTTGCTTGTCGGTATCGCGGAAGCAAATAAACAGACCTTCGTCCAGAGTCAAAGGCTGCCAAGAAGCCGTTGGGCTGGGTAGGCTGCTGACCTTAAACCACCAAAGGGCACGCAAAGAAACATGATGCTGTCATGTGCAGCATACAGCTATACACTTACATGGAATGATACTGGCACATCAACAGTGGCAGCAGTCATGAATAATGTTTTGGATTGATTGGAGCTGAGCTGATGCTTGCAGTTTTTACAGCAGATTTCTGCCAAAGCGCCGAGAAATTCGGTTTGTTGAAAAGCTCGAGCAAGACCTCGCTCACCTGACCAAATGCATCGCAAGGTCAAACACATATTGAACACCCATCCCCTGCATCATATCTCTTCATTTTCACCAGACTTGAAAAACACAAGCCGTGCTGCGACGGCGGTTCGCTTCGATACACTGTTTGGCCCACGCGAAACTACACGAGCTGTGCTGGCTGCAACACGCCTTTGCGACCACTCCCATGCCCGTGCGTTTTCCTTTGCCACATCTAGGACGACCGCCGACCGGGCCCGGGCGCCCCGGCGCACCCCCCGCGGGCCTTTGGGTCCTTGCAGCCCAGAGTGGCCTCCGCAAAGTACCTCGGAAGACGAAAGATCTGATTCTCGGCCACCGAGGATCGCAACCAAAGAGGTTTTTTGAGACGTCGACCCACGAGCAACGTCTGCAGCCAGCGTCCCACCCATCAGCACGGCTGCTGGAATTCCTCGGCATCTTGACGCTTCGCACAGGAACATGCCTCAGGTCTGCGCCGCAAAGGCACCCAGTGCTTGGCTCACGAACTCGCTCCCGAAGTGGAGCCCCGAGCCCTTGTCGCCCTTCTCCTTCGAAAGCGGGTCCGGCATGAGGATTTTCGACATCACCTCAGCGCCGGCAGAACTGAAAGAGCGCCACTGGTCACTGGAGATCAGAAAATGACGCTGCAAGCCGCTGAACCATTAACATCCATTAACATGTTGAGCTTGAGCCGCAACGGCAGTAGCTGTGCTTTTGACCTTTCCCTTGAGCTGCTCGACGACCTCCGCCATGTTCTCCCTCGCGACCACCAAAATCAACAAGTCCGCTCCCGCAGCGGCCTGACAAGTCCCTCTCAGTCCCTCTCTCCCTCCGCTAATAACCGTATCTCACCGCGCTGGGCACCTCCGCAGCGTCGGCCGTGGCTCTGAGGTTTTTTGGCAGCCGCAGGCCGGGCAAATTTGCGTCGTCGAAGCCCGTCGCATTGATCTCAGCTGCCATCGAAGAAGACGGCACCCACATGGCCAAAGGCTCCTGCATCGAAAGCAAAGCTAAAAACAAGCGGAATGTGGCGCCGGGTCTCAAGTCACTGGAGGAAATAGCTTTCATTCATCTGGGGTTCTGGACTTTGCCCCATCGCCAAGTCAAACAAGTCAGCTACGCATGTTACACGAACTTTCACTCTAGGTTTACCAGAGAAAAACTTGTAGTTAAGACTGTAAGAGACAGGTATGAAAATGAGATGAAGATTTTGGTGTCAAGCGTGCTACGCACAAGCAAGGCATACAACACTGGATGAGATAATCCTTATAGGGTAAGGTTGCTGCCCACTACATCAGACGCTGGGAATGATGTGGCATGAAGTGAGATGAGGGTGAAAATAAGGATGAAGGTCCCGCCAGGACAGGGCCCAGGCGCAGGCCATAGCAGTTGCGTTTTCAGCCCTCTCTGCGGGTGTCGTTGACAGGAGACCCCCAACAAGAGCTCCTGTCCCCTGCTAAGCTGCCGACAACACTTCGCTGCTAGTTACACTGTTGACTGGTACTCTTGGAGACAGGGTTTAAAGAGAGAGAGAGAGAGAGAGAGAGAGAGAGAGAGAGACAGAGAGACAGACAGCCAGACAGCCAGACAGACAGACAGCCAGACAGCCAGACAAACAGCCAGACAGAGACAGACAGACAGCCAGACAGCCAGACAGCCAGACAGCCAGACAGCCAGACAGCCAGACAGCCAGACAGACAGCCAGACAGCCAGACAGCCAGACAGCCAGACAGCCAGACAGACAGACAG